ATATATATACCTTAATGTCATTAACAAATTTTACACCAATGCAGGTGTGATTTAAAAAAGAATAGCTTAAAAAAATACTATATTCAGCTTACTGGTATGGTGCATTGGTGAGCTATTTTTAGAACAGGCCTGTGGGCAACTCATGTAATCCTCGTGGGCTACCTGGTACCTGGTGCCTGTGGGCACCATGTTGGTGACCCCTGCCCTATAAGCATACTGGCAAATTAGTTAAAATGTTCTTTAACGACAACAGAGTGAATGTTTTGGAGTGACCATCACAAAGCCCTGAACTCAATCCTATAGAAAAGACCCAGTTAAACCAATTCTGTCAGAAGGAATGGGCCAAAATACCTTCAAACTATTGTAAGAAGCTTGTGGAAGGATACCCAAAACATTTGACCAAAGTTTTACTGTTTAAAAGCAAAGCTAAAAAAAAAAAAAAAAAAAAAAAAAAAAAAAAAACAAGGAAATGTGTGTAAACTTTTGACGGTCTAGAAATTAATAAAAAAAATTCCTATTATTCTGGCATTTAGCAAATGTAAATCCTTTAAGTAATCCTAACGAACCTACAATAGTAAACCATTAGTATGTATGATTTACCATCAGGCATTAAAAAATTCCTTTAAATTCCTTAAAATATTCCTTTTTTAGAGTGTATGTAAACTTTTAGTTTCAACTATATAGTAAATTATGAGAAAAACAATGACGTTTAAATTTATTACAGCATATCATAGAACACGCAACAACCTAGTTTGTTTACATTTGTTTTTATATCTATGTAAAGTTTTGATAATGCTTAAACAGCAGTAACAATGTTTGAGCAAGTTTTTGGCCAAGGACAGAAAAGAAGTAAAGACAACTAACCTATATTCAAGTTTGGGCTGCACAATATATCGTTTCAGAATTGATATTGCAATGTGTGCATCCGCAACAGTCACATCGCAGCATATGCAATGTTGAGATTATAGTTTAATAAAGAGTTTATTCATAATGGAATAAAAGTCATCATCTGCACGCAATTTTTAAGAGAAGAAAGAAAAGTTTTACAGAGAAGAAAGAAAGAGTACATGTTTGATGGCCTGAAGGTAAGCAAATCATTTTCATTTTTGAGCAAACTATTAAAAACGGTTTGTATCCACTAGAGGGAGCAAATGCTGTAAATGTATAACTAATAATGTCACTTCTACTTATATGCTCTTTCTGCCTATGTTGATAATGATATAGAACAGTGGTTCTCAAACTGTGGTTTGTGTACCACTAGTGGTACGCAGGCTTCCTTCTAGTGGTACAAAGAGGAATTAAATATGTGATGTACATGCTACACACATTTCAAAATTTATCAAAAATTATGTACATAATAAGCCATATATGACATATAGCCTATATTTCTGAGGTAATCTGCCACATTTTTAGCTGTGGAGAGCTGTAACTGCTTTACTTGGCCTACTACGCTACTGTATTTCAATACTGCTCATTTTGGTGGTACTTAAAGAGGTAATTTTTATCTGATGTGGTACTTGATGAAAAAAATTTGAGAACCACTGATATAGAATATTTTAGCAAGGAAAAAAAGTACATTTGTTAATACATACATATAATTATACATGTTCATTTTCAATACGCTATTGAACTTTCAAACGTGATACAGGATAGATACAATAATAGGCACACTATATTATAATAATGCAATAAATAAGAGCAACAACAATAGTATAAAATATTAATTATAATAATAATAGGCAGCATGGTGGCGCAGTGGTTACCGCAATCGCCTCACAGCAAGAAGGTCGTTGGTTCGAGCCCTGGCTGGGTCAGTTGGCATTTCTGTGTTGAGTTTGCATTTTCTCCCATGGTTTCCTCTGGTTTCCCCCACAGTCCAAATACATGCGCTATAGTTGAATTGAATAAGCTAAATTGGCCGTAGTATATGTGAGTATGTGTAAGAGTGTATGGGTGTTTCCCAGTGTTGGGTTGTGGCTGGAAGGGCATCCGCCGCATAAAACACGTGCTAGATAAGTTGGCGGTTCATTCCGCTCTGGTGACCTCTCATTAATAAAGGGACGAAGCCGAAAAGAAAAGAAATGAATGAATAATAATAATAATAGTAATAATGGTGGTTCATTCAACTGTGGTGGCCTCTGAATTAGAGATTAAGCTGAAGGAAAATGAATGAATTAATTAATAATAATAATACATCATAATAATACAATATTTGTAGAAAACCTGTATGATAAAAAACGGACAACAAAAATTCGCTTTATTATTTATCAGGCATTTATGCTTACCTTTTTTGTCATAGTGGTCACTGGTTCAAGTCCCGGCTGGGTCAGTTGGCATTCCTGTGTGGAGTTTGTATGTTCTCCCCGTGTTGGTGTGGGTTTTCTCCGGGTGCTCCGGTTTCCCTCACAAATCCAAAGACATGCGGTACAGGTGAATTGGGTTAGCTAAAATTGTCCGTAGTGTATGTTTGTGAATGAGAGTGTATGGGTGTTTCCCAGTGATGGGTTGCAGCTGGAAGGGCATCCGCTGCGTATAACATGTGCTGGATAAGTTGGCGGTTCATAAAGGGGGTAAGCCGAAAAGAAAATGAATGAATAATAATACAATATTTGTAGAAAACCTGTATGATAAAAAATGGACAACAAAAATTGGCTTTATTGTTTATCAGTGTTACGATTACCAGCGATCGGATTCCATAAGATCGCTGGTTTGCTCTATCAATAAACAGTAACAGGCGAGAGGTCGTAAGGGCAGGCGGCTAAACAGGAGAACAAGGATGATCTAGGCTAAGGTCTGAACACGGAGATATAAGACAAGGAGAACGCGTTGTAGTGTCATCACCAGATAAACAAGACTCAGCAAACTGAATGGGTGTGTGTGTGGCTGAAGTAGTGAGTGCAATCAGTCTCTGACAATCCTCAGGTGGTGCGAGTAACCAGTCTAGATGAGGAAGCATGTGTGAGTGTGGCCGGAGTGCATGTATGAATATGTAGTCCATCAAAGGCGGAAGTGTAGTCCATGGTTATTGATAGAGCAAACCAGCGATCTTATGGAATCTGATCGCTGGTAATCGTAACAATCAGACATTTATGTTTACCTTTTTTGTCATAGAAATTACTGGCAAAATGACAATAA